GTCCACAAAACAAGGGAGCTCTTTCAAAGACTGGGGTTTCTGATAAATGAACAAAAGATGACTGTCGAACCAACTCAACACCAAAGAGTTTATTGAAGCCCTACTAGACTCCACCTACACCAAAGCACCTACCACAATGCTTCATCATTCTAGTCATGCTTATAAACATTATGACAATCAGACCCCGCATTTCAATACTGACCTCCTACCAATCCTGTGACACATGGCAGTGACCAATTATATTATCAAATGTGCCATACTCTACATGTGGTACCTATAGAGGTAGCTCATGACAGTGTACATACCCACAAGAGATACTCTAAACAGATGAGTCACAGTGCTAAGCAGTGTGTTCTCCTCCCTACAATGGTGGATTGGCCCAGAAAACATCCTGCCAGGCGTTACCTTTCACTAGGAAACCCTATCTGTAGACATCACAAGAGACACATTACTCCTAAGGAGGGGCATTTATCTCCAACAACACATGACACAGGGCAGGTGGACATTCACACACATCACCCTCCGAGAACTGCAAGGCATGCTAACACTTTTGCCCCCCATATAGAACAAAACGATACACCTACTTACTGACAACATGACATGCATGTTTTATAACAGACAAGGCAGTGCCAAATCTTATTCCCTGTGTACAGAGGCTATTCACCTCCAGAACTGGTGCATCCACCACAGTATAATTATTAAAGCATTCTATTTGCTAGGAATATAGAACACCATGGCAGACACATTAAACTGCTACTTTTAAGATGACTGTAAGCGGGAAATTCAACACCATGTCCTACCATCTTCTATTATAACAGACAAGGCAGTGCCAAATCTTATTCCCTGTGTACAGAGGCTATTCACCTCCAGAACTGGTGCATCCACCACAGTATAATTATTAAAGCATTCTATTTGCTAGGAATATAGAACACCATGGCAGACACATTAAACTGCTACTTTTAAGATGACTGTAAGCGGGAAATTCAACACCATGTCCTACCATCTTCTACAAATGGGGGCAGCCACAAGTAGAGCTCTTTGCTAAATCCCCCAACCCCTCCCCCCCCCCCCCCGAGCAAGACGAGCACAGTGATCTCTCGAGGGCACTCTTCTAATCCCCTAAAATGAAACGCTGCTCTATGCATTTCCACCAATGCCACTGATTCCTTGAGTAATCCACAAAATACGCAGACAATGCATGCATTATTCTGATCATCCTGAGATGGCCCAGACAGACATGGTTCCCTTACCTCTCTTGCTTTGCACTATGTCCTCCGCAAACTCTTCCACAATGTCTGGATTACCTGTCACACAACAACAGCTGAATGCAGAAGCTTCACTCAAGGCATGGCTCCTCAGTGGTTCCAAAATGAAGAAACAGCCTGTTCAGAGAGAGTAAAATTTTCTTAACCAGCAGACGATCCACCACAAGAAATTCTTATCTCCAGTAGTGGAAGAGGTTCTCAGTCTGGTGGTTGGACAAACAATTCAATCCGAATGAAACACCACTACCACTCATCCTTGAACTGAAACTGCCGGGCCTAGCCCTTGTCTCACAAAGGGTCCACTTGGCTGCCATGACTACATTCCATATACAGGTTGATGGCTCTTCTGCCTTCGCACATCCACTCACCAGACGGTTCCTAAAAGGCATTCAGAATTTGTATGCTTCAGTCAGACAGCCCACCCCAACATGGGACTTCAGCCCTAGCTGGGATGATTTACTTAGGGTTAGTCCTGCTTTGGGTAGGTGGTTGGACTCAATGACCTCCTGAGGTCTCTTCTAGACCTATGGATTCTATGATCTAACCATGTCCTCAAAGCCCTCACCTGAGCACCCTTCAAACTGCTAGCCATTTGCTCACTATTACACATGTCCATGAAGAACTCATTCCTAGTACCTATAACCTCGCCAGAAGTGAAATCTGAGCACTCTTAGCTGATCCTCTGTATACCACATTCACTAAGGAAAAAATAATATGATCACACAGAATTTACTTACCGAAAGTTACCATCTCCTTCCACATCATCCAACCCACAAATTAGCAGTGTTCTATTCAAAACCTCACAAAAACCAGTAGAAAGCAATCCTGCACAATCTAGATGCACAACGAGCGGTGGTATTCTACATAGACAGAACAAAATTGTTTCACAAATCATAGTGACTATTTTTGTCTATAGCAAAATGTGCAAAGTGATCAGCAATCACCACATAGTGCCTATCCATGTGGATCTCTACATATATACATACGTGCTATGCTTTCCGAGACAAAGCACTCCCCAACTAACCTAAGACCTCACTCCACCCGAGCCATGGCAGTCTTCCTACATAGTGTCCCCCAGCTGATACCTGTCGGGTGGGTATATTGATCTCAGAACACACTTTCACAAAGTGCTATGGGCCCATTCCTAACATATCAGTGAGCCTAGCTATCTCTACTTCAGAGTCTAGATCCTCAACTTGAAGGTAGAGGAGGAACAGAGGAAGATTGGACCACATGCTCAACATGTTAAGGTGCAAACACCACAAGGCAGCTATGGCACATGCACAGCTCAATCAGCCACTGCTGCAAAAATCTCTAATTGGCAGTATCAGCCCTACACCTACAATGGAGCACCCACAGAGATACACATCTTAGAGAACCATTGTTACGACACGAGGGGAATAACCTTTTCTGTGCAGGATTTGGATGGTGTGTGGTAAATAACTGAACATCATGGGGACACATACTGAATGATGAGGAAAATAAGACATTTTGAAAAGCTGACCATTCTAAGCACTCAGTGGAGGTACAGATGGGATAATGGCTTGTTATCATGTAAAGTCTGTATCATAATACATGTACAAAAGGGAACTGAATTAAGTTTATACAACCTTAATTTTGGTATTTACTAATTTTTTAGTGTTTGACTTTATAACTTTAATGGACTTTAATATAGTTTTGGGGTATGTAATATTTATTCAGATAGTCCAGATATTCCCAAACCTATTATTTGAACAAAAAAAGTGGAATAGTTGCTAGATCACATGGCTCCTTTGCTGACACTTTAGCAGAATCTGCCATAGGATTCCATCCCCAACCAAAGCTAAAGGAGCTGCCTGCATTTATGCAGAGGATGGAGAGGTAGGAAGGAGATTCATGTTCATTAGTCTTCTCCAGCATTGGGTAGTTGCGGGGAGGAAATAGAGAGCTGTTTTTCTCTGCCTTTACATTTATTAAGTCCTGAGCCCCATTTCTTTTAAAGTTAATTAAGATGCAGCCTGTGCTTTAAAAAACATTCTTGTGTCTTTTATCATTCTCTGCATGGTCTGATCAATAATAATAGAGTGTATTCCAAAAATAGCCATTAGAATTTCATTAATGAAACGTTCTATTGCAATTCAGCTGGTTTCTACAGATTGCTATTCTATTAAACAACTGGGTGGAACAATCCACTAAATAGAATTTGAGGTAACTTGGTGATTAAAACATTTAACTAAAATATGTTGTTTCAAGAGAATGAAATGTCAGTTGTACATTCTTTTTGCCTTTCAGCTGAACATTATCTCAGCAGCAGTAATTACATGGATTGCATTTCCTCGCTGACAGGAAGCAATGGCTGTAACTTGAACAGTTTGTTTAAGGGGTCTGATCTCCCTGAGTTGTTCAGTAAGCTCGGTTTGGGCAAATACATTGATGTATTCCAACAACAAGAGGTCAGTCTTTGAGGCATTTTTGTTTCTGCTGTGTATTTTACAGTCCTTTGTGTGCCCTGAATTAAATCATTTAGCCTCTCCTAGCTGCAATATTTTCACTGACTATTCTGTCAAGCGGTTCTTGAATTTAGAAGTGACCATTCTCCTTCATTAAAACTAACTGTACATGTTTCCATTCAGTTATCTTGACATATGAATAACAGAAAACTTCAGTATGGTGTTTGTTGTTAAACACTTTTGTGCATATGCCATTGAATTCAAGCAGAGGGGGACACATTCAATTGTGGTATATTGCTATTAATATGAATAATTATGTTTGAAATAAACTTTCCTTCGAATAAATAAATGATTGGCTCTGGGAAAAGAGACTCTTGTGTGCAAATAAGTATCATTAATCAACACAATTAGGCCCTTACCAAATTCATGGCCATAAAACACATCATGGACAATGAACTCTGGTCTTCGCTATGAAATCTGGTCTTTTCTATTTTACCCTATACTAAACAGAGTAAACAGGGGAGATGAACATTTCTCAAACTGGGGATCCTTACCCAAAAGAGGGCAACAGTATGTTGAAAGGTTATTGTAGGGAGGGTTGCAATATTGCCACCCATATATCTGTGCTGCCTTCAGAGCTGGGAGCCAGAAAGTGGCAACTGCTGAGCAAGGGCCCAGCTCTGAAGTCAGCAACACAAAATTAAAGGTTGTAATGCCCTCTCCAATAACCTTCCGCCCCCTTCTCCCACCCACACACACACACCCCTCTTTTTGGGTCAGGATCCCTAAAGTTACAAAAGAGGGAAATTTCAGATTTAAATAGCTGAAATCATGATATTTAACAATGTTTAAATTCCTGTAACTGAAATTTACCAAAATGGACTGTGACTTTGGTAGGGCCCTAAACATAATTTGCATGTGTCTTTAAAAATGGTACCTTTACTTTTTAGTTTGCCTCAAATAAAACAAAAGATATCTGTATAGTAAAGTTTGCTGCATAGATGACATTTCTGATATCTATTTCCCCTCTAATCAACTCAACTGTCATTGATTGGAATTTGGTAATTGTTGCTTGTTCTAAGCATTTTAGAATGGGTTTGTAGAATAAATGGAAAAAGAAAAAAAGTTAAGGGCACTTTGTTTTTAGCAGCTACAAGTACCATACTCATGGTTAATTGTTGTGAGAAATAATTCTCAACCCAGGAAGTAACTGGGTGCTTAAAGATTGTGGGCTTGTACATTATTTGAAATTAACCATTTTAATTTGCTTTTTTCCATAGATTGACCTGCAGACCTTCCTTACTCTGACAGATCAAGATTTGAAAGAGCTAGGAATTACTACTTTTGGTGCCCGACGGAAAATGCTACTTGCAATCTCAGGTGAATAAATAACACTGTAATTTAAAAATAAATGGTAGGTTTTTTTCTTGGTCATTTGAGTTGTTTGGTTTGCATTGTCATTAGAAGAGCTCAAAGGAACTGTATCAGGATGGAAATCTGGCCCACAGAAAGAATATCTTATCTGCCACTCTTCATAATATAAAAAGGCAGCTGTGAAAGTTTCAGACAGTGTAAGACCCACATAGGTTCCACACATCAGGTGAGATTCCAGCTACGTAGTTCTGTACTGAACTATTAAAATTACAGCAGTGCAGAGAATGGTTAATTCCATTTTGCAAAGGATTTCAAAGAAAATTTTCAAAATTCCCTGCAAAAGGGAAAAGAACTTGGAGGTGCTGATTCCAAGACACTTCATCTGGCATACTCTCCTGAACCTCGGAATCTTGGGAGCCTGGCCTACTGAGTAGCTGCAAGATTGAGAGTCAAGACTTCTGCGCTGCTAAGGAGCCAGGCAAATAATCAGGTATGCATTGAAACCTGCATAAAAGGCCTATTCTGGTGGTAGTTGGAACTACAGCTGAATTAGCTATATGAAACATTTCCATTTCAACAAATGGACAAATTCTGGTGAAAAAAATGGTTTGTCCAATTTTTTTTCCAAGTAGCTGTAGTTAATCTGTTTTAAATCTTAATACAATAAATGAAAATCGAAGTACCACTTCTGAAGATACACAACAGAATAGCAATGATTAACATGAACATGAGCAAGGGGCTGGAATCACTTAAGATTTTATTTCATATTTTGAATAGAGTAATGCTTGAGATTCCAGATATCCTGCAGCAAATCTTTTTCCATCAGAGGTTGTAAGTTTTCATCTAATATTTCATGGAGCATGACATTTATTAAATTTGTTGATGTCATTCATGAATATATTTCAAATTATGTCCTAAAAAATAAATAATGGTTTCATAAGAACAGTCATATTAATCAAAAGTCTGATGGAATCACTGTCAGAAAAGATTGTACCTGTAATCGAGCTTTTGTTAAGTATAACAAGGGACTACAAAAAGTGCTTTATATCAGTGATGGACCTTACACCATTAAGTATGGGAGGATAACAGATCCTTATTATAAAAACATTGCTATGTGTTAAAAATAGTAAATGTGCTTTGGGGAAATAAACTTTTCCAATTTCAATTATTTATAGTTAGTATGCAGCAAACTCTGTTGCTTCAGATTATGTAATGTGCACAGTGCTGCTCAGTATGGGATGTTCACATGATGTTTCTTTTTGTGAAAAATGTACAAGCTTTACATGGGATTTTTAAGCACTCCAGCTGGGATCACTTTTTTTACATTTTTGCTGTGGCTTTTCCTTTTTGCTGAGAATTTGCATACAAATGATTGCAGCAAAATATTATCTCTTTAGGCATGCTGTTTAATCCTAGAAACCCCTCAGGAGAATTAATTTCAAACTTCACCTGTCTGGAAATAAACATGGCCTATCTCTGCATTAAAGCGCTCGCTTGACACCATCATTGAATATAGAACTGCAGCAAATTATGACAATTATTTTCCTATATGTATCCTGAACCATAATTTTTTATAGAATTTCACAGCATTCTTGGTGTTCTGATTAACTTGATGAATGTCTACAGTTTTCATTTAGAGTTATGGCTCCCCATTTGCAATGGTATAGTCCTGATGTAATACAGGTTGTATCTCTATAAACTGGAACTCTCTGGTCCGGCAACATCCATGATCCAGCAGGACCACAGATATTCCAGGATCAGAGAATCCCTGCGCACTGCAAGGGATGAGGGGGGTCTAGGATCCCAGAGCAATGCAAAGGGCGGGGTGATGCGTGGCCCAACTAGGCTGCGGGGGAAGTGGAACCAGGAAGCTGGGCCACACAGCTTAGCTGGGTTTCTGGGGTGGTGGGGTGGGAGTTGGCACGTGGCTTAGCTGGGCTGTGGAGGTGGGCCAGGAGATGGCACACAGCTCAGTTGGACTGTGGGGTAGAGCTGGTGGTTCAGCTAGGATTGCAGGGTACGGGGGCAGGGCAAGGACTAGAAATCACCTCCCCTAGTCTGGCAAAATCCTTCATCTGTGATCAGTCAGGTCCTGAGGGTGCTGGACCAGGGAAGTCCAACCTGTAATGAGATTGCATTATTTAGAATAGTGTTGCTCCTTCATTTCCCAATATTAACATCCAAATCTGCTGTTTTCCATATAGAACTGAATAAAAACCGAAGAAAGCTATTTGATCCATCAAATGTACGTGCCTCATTCCTGGAAGGTGGAGCTAGTGGAAGACTGCCACGTCAGTATCACTCGGACATTGCTAGTGTCAGTGGTCGCTGGTAGCACTAAAATGTGACTCTCAAAGTGGATTGTAAAGATGGACTTGCCAATCCTGTGGACAGCTTTCACTGCATACCACCCTCTGCACTTTGGGAGTTTGAGTATTAAGGACCAAAGCATTTTGTCTGCACAAATACTTGTGCCAAAAAAGAAGACACTTGTATGTCAGTTTTCAGAACACCAAATGTGGATTATGTTTTACTCTTGTAGATTGGACAGCATTTGCAATAATAAGAATAATATAGGGTTCTTCGTTTAGTATTTTATTATCTATAACTATATTGTATGCACTGATTTTTTACTTTATTGAATGAAGGGAAAATGAAGAGCTGGAATGCCATAGAGCATAACTTTTGGCTTTATTAAGGTGGAATTTTCTGGTACTGCTTAAAATAATTATTGAGGTCTTTCTGCACTTTACATGTTCTGTTTTCTTATCCTGTGGGAAATTATTATTTTCTTTCAGTTCCATACAAAATATTATATTGGCACTAATCAAATTTTGTCAGGTGATCTGCAATAATCAAATCTCCTCTCTATAATGGTACTAGGAATCAATGCTTATGCAAACATGTTCCAAAATCAAACCGCTTGCAAGTGGACAAATCCTATTATCCTTTTATGAAGCAGCCTAGCGGTGCTTACTATGAAACTAGTTCACTGTAGCAGATTCAATGAAAGACCAAAATTGAACTTGCAATATTAAGCCTTTGCAGTCTTCATATTTAACTGCTACCAATAATGCTAAAACTGATTTTAATGGTTCTTTCAAAGCAAAGGACTATTTTAGTATACTGCCACTAAAGGACATGTATTATTTATATACAACTTTTATTTTTAGACTCTGTACACCTACAATATACATCAGTTTAAACTGAGATCTACTACTAATTTATGGTAGAAAATGAAAGGCATTCATCAAACTAGAGTTCTGGGCCACCAGTTTGATTAAACAGACAACTAATCTAATTTGACAAGACAGCACTGTTGCCATGTATTATGTTAAGCATATTACTTACATGACTATGCATGCAGCAATTAAGCAACAGCTGTAATATAATCACTTTTGTTTAATATAGATTTGTGATCGTCAGCTATGAAAGTGCTTAAAAGTCCAAGATGAACTATTTCTGGTAAAGAAGTTATAGTCAACAAAGAGTCCATGTTATAAATGACTAGCGCTAACTATTGAATTCTCATACTGTGAAAGTCCAAAAAATCTGGAATATTATTTCTGTGTCTTTTCGGGTGTTCTGTTGTGGTTTGATGAAGGGTTCTCATATAATGAAGGAAATGATTAAGTGCCTCTTTTTCTGCAATGAAATATGAAGTTTCCAAACATTAATTTGTTGAAAAGAATTCCCCAAAGAAATATTGTGACTTGTACAGTGTTACTTATGTTCAGTGTACAAGGCTTTTAAGATGGACACAAACCACTGTCAGGGGCTCTTAACAGAAATCATTAGAATAATCATTTACAGTAGTTGGTTTTTATGCAAAAATGGGGTAAGAAATAGTTTCGACACTTTCTGTGGATACATGTAAGATGAGGAAAAACTCAGTTTGAGAAATATGCACATAAAAGGGAATTGTTAAGCGGTAATTGCTTTGAAGACATAGACGATGAAGCAGTAATAGAATGACTTGTTGCAATTAGCAAAAATTAACTGCTCAGTATGGGGTTCAGCCATATCCACTTAATGGTGTATAGTGGAATAACTTTCGCTGCAAATAAAATAGCAGCAAACTCTCCGTATTTAATATTGCAGGACAATGCAGTTTGCAAGCACAAAGCTATAAGCAACAAAATTATACATTCAAATGCCCAAAATCTATGAACATATCAGATATGTGATGTGTAATTCAGGCATGATTGAATTCATCAAACAACTATGGAAATAATTACTCTTCTGCTTATTTTTATATTTGTGAGTAGTCACATTGACACGAGGTTACTTATTTGTTTAAAGTTGAGCAAGACCTAGGTTTGAAAATCAAGGCTTCTATAAACTTGATTGTTTACATTTAAAATTAGATTAAATGTTATCAGATCCACTTAGATATTATTATAGTCTTTGCCTACATTAATATTTTAAGTTTAAACACTTTGCTTCTGCAAAAACTCCATGTCATATGATTTCATTTTTTTCATAAATATGTAACAAGCATTTTTACAGTATTATATTAGAAAGCTGAAAGTCTTACAATATTAAGTTGATGTGGTCTTTTGCTGAGCAGTGCATATATCATCTAGACCAAAGTGAAGAATTTCCCTGTAATAACATTATTTTTAGTGGGGCTGCACACAAAAAACACACACTGGAAAACATTTTTCTCACTTCTTTAAATTCCATGGAGGGAATATGACAATGCAATATACAGTGTTGTCAGTGTTATGTTATGCACAAAATATTTGAATTGCTAGATTAAAATGTTAGTTTTAAATCTGTGCCTTAATAGTGACCAGTTATCTGTAAATATAGAGCAGATACAGATTGTATTTTTGTGGGTTGTCCTTTTAGTGATTTTTTTAAATGAAATATGGAATTAAAAATATTAAAAATGGGATTTTTTTCAAAACTAATCATTTGTTAAATGGAAAAAATAAATTTATATAACCCTCTGTATTCTGCTTGGTAAGTTTAAATTATTTTTATTTAGATCTAGATGTGCTTGCATGTTAAGGAAACACAAAAGCTATTCTCCTTATATTGGAATATAAGTTGCTTTTTGTATTTCCCCACTGTATTAGCTATAACTGATTGTTCCAGAACTTGTTTTATATTATAAATAGTGGCTTCTGCTACTAATTCTGAATCCTTTTGAGGACTGTACTTGTGAGGGGGTACGGTCATAGGGGTGGCTCCTGGGACGCTGACACGGCCACTGCCACTCACCTTCCCTCTCTCTGGGGCTCCTCACCGCCTAGTCCTGCTGGGCCAGCTCCACTGGTCTCCCCCAGCCAAGGCCCCAAGCTGAGGTCCCTGCCCCCACCGAGAAGCAGTACAGACACTGAACCACTTCAGGTCAAAGGAGAGTACAGTATAGGGCTCAGCTTCCTGGGACACCATTCCCCAGATGGGATCAAACCCCAAAGAATTAGATAAGAGTAAGCCTCCTTGAGCAATGAAAGGGGGAATGTGCACATTGGTTCCCACCCTACCCACCCACGGTAACAATTATTTACACTGGGTTTGATAGAAAATAAAAGTGATTTTATTAAGTAGAAGTAGTAGGATTCAAGTGATAATAAATGAGAACAGGCAGAACAAAGTAGATTACAAACAAAACGCCTGGCTAATTCTACACTGAAGCCTCAGTACAAATTTACTCAAACTCACCCTAAAACCTCTTTTTCAGCTGCTCCTCCAAACCAGGGCTGTCTCCCCACCCTGGAATCTTCAGCTCCTTTCTTCAGGTGCAGCCCAGCCAAAATACCAAGGCCTCTGCTTTCCCTATTCTTTTTGTTAAGGAATTGAGGCCACTCCCTACCAATCCCTGATCAGACTTAAGGACAAAAGAGATAGTTTAACAGTGGTTCACCAAGACATCCAGGGTAACACTCTCCATGTCTCTCATTCACACATTTAAAATCCACAAAGTGTTCCCCACTCTATATGTCTAATTTTACAAACACACATGATACCTACATCAAAATAAGATAAACAGAACCAGCAGATCGTGACATGACGACTGATGGGTTACATGAAATAATTTGTTCAATGCACTTTGATTCATGTATGTTCATGTCCACAAGTCCATTTCATAAAGCATGGGAGAGGGGTCTGTACACTACAATCTGTGTAATTAGTACTGTGAAACTGAATTGGGTTATCTCCAGTCCGGTTCCTAGTAGGTTGCAATGGCTTCTCCGTAGTTAATGTGAGTCATAGTTTTAGTTTCAGGCACCAACAATTTTAGGTCTCGTCACCAGGACTGTTTATTTTCTGCATTGTAGCCCTTGTACTATCCCTGACAATGGAGAAAAGACAGGACATGGGCCTAGTAAACAGCGTAATCATTGTTTATTTGGGACACTAAACATAATCATTGTATCTCTCTCGAGCTTTCTGGCTTGCAGACTGAGGAATATAGCCTTCTTCTGCAGTATGCATCTAAACCCTGACTCAGATTTGACTAGCATGGAAAAGATGACTGACTATGCTGTTATCCTGACTATGGTTGCTCGTCTTTTGAATTGTTTAATTATATTAAGAGAAATTAGCCATATGGAACACATTAACAGCATTACGGTAATATTATTTTTGATATATTTTAATAATCTATGTATAAAAACCAACTTCATCTACAGAATGAAACCCCACTTTGGGTTGCTAGTAGTTCAGAATCTTCTGCACACCTGAAAGGGGTTTCTAAAATAGATGGAGAGAGGCTGTTCTCAGTGGTAGCAGATGATGAATGAGGAGCAATGGTCTCAAATTACAGTGGGGGAGGTCTAGGCTGGATATTATGAAAGACTATTTCCCTAGCAGGGAGGTGATGCACTGGAATGGGTTATCTACGGAGGTGGTGGAATTTCCATCCCTAGAGGTTTTTAACTCCCAGCCTCACAAAGCCCTGGCTGGGATGATTTAGTTGGGATTGGTCCTGCTTTTAGCAGGGGGTTAGAATCAAAGACCTCCCCCACTACAGCCTGAGACCATTGCTCTTCATACTATCATTTGTCACTATTGAGATACAATGATTATTTGTCACTCTCTCCATCCTCTTTGGAACCTCTCTTCCGGTAGCTAAAGGCCAATAGCAAATGCCCCCCCCCCCTCTTTTCTTTTGTAGACTAAATAGGCCCAAATCCCTCATCCTCGCCTCATAAGACGTGCTCCAGCCCTCTAATTTTTGTTGTCCTCCGCTGGACTTTCTCCAGTACGACCACATCCTTTTTGTAACGGGGAGGGGTGGTGGTGGTGCAGAATTGAATGTAATACTCCAGATGTGGCCTCACCAGTGCTGAATAAAGGGGAATAATTGCTTCCCTAGATCTGCTGGCAGTGTTCCTTCTAATGCATCCTAATATACCATTTGCCTTCTTGGATACAAGGACACTCTCTTGACTCATATCTAACTTCTCATCCACTGTAATCCCCAGATCATTTTCTGCCAAACTGCTGCAGAGCCATTCAGACCCCAGCCTGTAACAACTTGGGATTGTTCCATTCCAAGTGCAGGACTCTTGTGCTATTTGAACCTCATCAGATTTCTTTTGGCCCAATCCTCCAATTTGTCCAACTCATTCTGAACCCTACCCCTACCCTCCAGCATGTCTACCTCTTCCCCCAAGCTTAGTGTCATCCACAAACTTGCTGAGGGTATGAGCCCATACCCTTATCCAGGTCATTAATAAAGATGTTGAACAAAACCAGCCCTAGAATCGACCCTTGGGGCACTCTACTTGAAGCCAACTGCCAACCAGATGTCAAACTGCTGATCTCTACTCATTGAGCCCGACAATCTAACCAGATTTATCCAATCCATACTTCCTTAAATTGCTGGCAAGAATACTGTGGAAAACTGTATCAAAAGCTTTGCTAAAGTCAAGGTATATCATGTCCACCACCTTCCCCATATCCACAGAGCCAGGTACCTTGCCATAGAAGGCAATCAGGTTGGTTGGGCATGACTTGCCCTTGGTGAATCCATGTTGACTATTCCCGATCACTTTCCTCTTTTCCAAGTGCTTCAAAATGGATTCCTAGAGGATCCCCTACTTGATTTTTCTGGGCACTGAGGTGAGGTCTGTAGTTCTCTAGATTGTCTTTCTTCCCCCTTTTAAAAATGGGCACTACATTTCCTTTTTCCTATCCTCCAGAACCTCCCCCGATCACTTTGAGTTTTCAAATATAATGGCCAATGGTTCTGCAATCACATCAGCCAACTCCCTCAGCACCCTTGGATGCATTAGATCCATCCCCATGGATTTATGTTAGTCCAGCTTTTCTAAATACTTCTTAACCTGTTCTGTCCCCACCAAGATTTTCCCACCTCCTTCCCATACTGTGCTGCCTATGGCAGCAGTCTGGGAGCTGATCTTGTCTGTGAAGAGAGAGACAAAAAAAGCATTAAGTGCTTCAGTTTTTCCCACATCTCACTAGGTTACCTCCCTCATCCAGTAAGATCCTCCTCCTTCCCTGACCACCCTCTTATTGCTAACATGCCTGTAGAACCGTGGTCCCCAACATGGTGCCCGCGGGCGCCATGGCGCCCGCGGGGGCATTTATGTGCGCCCGCGCCAGCATTTTAAAATTACGCACATTCAGCCCTGTTTAAAGCAGCGTCAGCAGCCTGGGGCTCACAAGAGGGTCCGACGCGGTGCTTCGGAGGCTCGAGCCCTGCCCCCACCACAGCAGGCAGTCCGCGCAGGTGCTTCAGCAGCTGGAGCAAACCCCAGTCCGGCCGTGAGGCAGCAACAGTCCCCCTCCCCTCACCTGCAAACCCTGCCCCCACCACAGCAGGCAGTCCGCGCAGGTGCTTCAGCAGCTGGAGCAAACCCCAGTCCGGCCGTGAGGCAGCAACAGTCCCCCTCCCCTCACCTGCAAAACAGCCGTGGCGGGGCCCGTTGTGGTGCAGGAGCTTCGAGCCGGCAGG